TATCTGAATTGGCAGCACCGCTTTAACACAACCGTCAACCTACAAATTGTTCAGTTTGGAAACTCTACCAAATAAATTTCAGGCAATCACTAGTAAAATAATTGCGACTAGCTGCAAACACATTGTGTTCTGTAAAATTTCTAAAAATCAAGTACTAGGAGACATAACGAATGTCTGGATCTTGGCAGAATTGTTAAACAGTGCAGCGTTGGAAGTTGTCAGCTCTTCAACCAATTACGCACTATAGCTAAGTATAATAAAGATATTAACAACGACATATAAATATATACATATATATATATAAGATATGAAATCGTATTAAAAATCAATTAGATGAACAAGCTTTTTTGGCCCATTAAGCCGTACACATTTCTACTCACTGTAGTTTTTTGTGTCTCTCTTCCAAACAGCTATTGTTTAGTGGACCGAAATGTTGTACAGCTGTGGATTTTACCTTCAAATTTTTTGTCTTTCCCTTTCTTCCTTCCCCAATTTTTTACATTTACTACCACTTCATTCATACTTATAGCTATGCGCTCATAAAAATACATTCACACTTAAACCCGGCTATCTAGCAATCCAACGCTGAGAGTGTCAATTTTTCATTAGCTCTTTCACTGCATATGGGACGCGTCTCTTTCGCAATCATTGAGAAAGTCGAAGCTCCAGTTGTTAAAGTCAGAAGTCTAAAATCCTTTTCTTATTTGCCCTCTATGAAAGACAGAGGTAGTCGAAGTATTCCGACGGCCCTAACAGTTAAGCAATCGTTCACTGACTAAACTATCACTAGCTCTTCTTTTCCAGCATACTTTACAAGCACCCTGATAAGTTCCTAGCATACGCCAGTACTAGCGAATAATGAATTGTAGAGGGACTGGCTGCCTTACTGACAAAGTCGAACTTCCGACTTCCAGCATAACAATAGCGCTACTTGCCACTGCGCCATGCCCGTTAGAATTTCGACATATTCTAAAATATTTTCTAAACAACTACAAAAATAGCAAAAAAAGAGTGAAACGAACATCAAGCTCAAGCGTATAAGTGATCTGTATAATTTTACACCGGGATAATCGCGGAGGAATGGAAGGCACAACAACGTTCTCGTTAATCCAGGCAAATTTTGAATGCGGCGCAATTTCGCCTTTTTCCTTCTTCACGATCACCCTACTGGCCGACTTTACGTGCTCACTTCCAGCAAATGTTTTTGCCCTGTAAATTAGGATTTCAGCTTTGTTACAGTTCCGTTCATGCTAGTACTTATATTTGTTGTTCAAAATTTGCCCCCATTTTCTTCGAAGGATTCATTTTTTTCCTTCCCAGCATTTTTCTATTCACAAAGCAAAATCTGCTGAACAACAGCATGCAATTTCTGAAAGCAGCAGCATTATTCGTTATCACTGCGAGATAGTACATGACCACTCGAGCGGTCTTTGAAGAGATCGTGCACATACATCGAACATTCAGTGGTTATCAACTGGATAAAGGCAGCCCGATATCGATGCATCCAAATGCACGCAGCGTTTGAGGAAATCCCAGTGCATCACTAACATGAGATTCCACACCAGATTCTCAAGAAATCTTAGCGTTCTTGGTAATGTCATTTGTTATTTAGTAAGTAATAGGAAAATATTTTAAGATTGGAAGACAAAAAAATAATATTATGAAATTACTAGAAGTGAAATATTATAATGGTAAGGAATATTTCGGTCCATTAAGTCGTATACATTTGCGTCTTAAGCAAAACATGCATCTTAAGTATTACCTGTAATCAACTTGCTGCCTCATTTTCAACGCTGAACATCTGATGGTCTTGGAACTGTCATTGGTGATTGTTGCGTTCACTTGGAATTGTTCGCCAGGTGTAAATCCAGTTCGATCGAGTGAAAGCTTCACCGACACAGAGCCTTGCCTCCGGCAACAAAAACTCACCGATGAGTCACACTCCGAAACACAAGCTGGTTCCATTGTCTGAACATTAAAGATTTTCACCGACCGTACATAAATGTTGCTTCAAATAGCACAAAACTGCCGGAACCCTGACTGGAAGACAACAGATGTGAGCATACCCTCCATAAATCTACCACCTTTTATATTCACTCAAATGTTCAAAACTGACTGAGTGGGCTATTCGATTTTAAATATTTGCTTGGAATACTAGAATTCATGGTTGTGCTGTTAACAACTTTTCTAACTGCCACGCATGTTGTGTTTTTGATAAAATAGCAGCAAGCTGACCGCCAGATAATGCAAAAAAAACTTGCCGAGAGCTAGATTATGAATTGTATCTGACGAATCTAACAGATAATACCAAATCCCATGGATTTAGGTAATTAAATTCAATTTTGCTTTTTAAGGATGTCTGAAAAAACTGAGACTTAAATCGAGATTAATCCAATAAAATCTGCATAGTAATTTGTAGGCAACAGAATCATGAGTTAATTTGGAGCCAACAAATCCCGCAAAGCAGCGAAGGAAAAAATATATAAAAATTTCGAAAAAAAATGCTTTAGGGATTAACACTGCGATTATGCCGCAGAGTTTCTAAGAACTCTAGTTACACTTATTTAGCGTTTTTTAAAAAATGTGAATTCCTCTGGAGCTTAATACTGCGTGAGCGATGATCTCATCATCATGTCCTGCAGTTACAGTACAAGCCCTACAGGCCGTCAGTACATTTCTAGACAAGTGGAATTCAGCTTCACCTCAGGCTCCTGGTTGATATCCTCAATTC